GGGGGGGTGGCGGTGTATGATCAAGATCTCTGAAGCAGCTGTTAACTGAATGCTCGAAGTGCTCGAGGGCATTTCCTCGGTTAAACTCGATGCCCCCTCCCCCAGACAAGAAGACGCTTACAGAAGCGCAGGCTTGATCCACAACACTTAGTGCAGATAATTGCCGATTTAGCAGACTTCAAAAAAAAACTTTATGACCTTGAGGAGATTCAAATGGGTGTCGGAGTGTCGGCAGTGTTTGAGTACAGCCGGCTTTGAACGAGGCTCAGGCAATCCATCTGGGATCCACTAGATGACCAAACGGACTCGTACTTTTGGCAGATTCCGGTAATTTGACTGACGTTCTCCAATTGAGAAAGAAAATAGGGGATTTAGCAAGGCTGACGCTCTAACAACCTAGACCACACGCGTTGAAATCCCAACGTGGTCGCTAGATTTTCCTCAATTAATTGGTCGGTTAACTCACATATATCCTCTAAAAAATTCTCAATTTCAGCGCCAAGTTGCCCTTTATTTTCTTTAACTAAATATAACCAGTTTTCATACTGCCTTGTTTGTGTTCTCTCTCTCTCTCTCCAGCTTCCTCGATGATCTCGATCGCCTGGGTGCCAAAGACTACAGGCCCACAGAGCAGGACATCCTGCGTACAAGAGTCAAAACTACCGGTATTGTTGAGGTCCACTTCCAGTTTAAAAACATGAATTTCAAGTAAGTGCCAACCAATCCGCCCACTTCACACAGACAATGTTGCTATTTCTATTAATGTGCGCTATTTTTTCACCTTGTCACAATGCTCGTAGAAAGCCTCTCGGTCTTCTTCTACGTTCTTTTTATCGGCAGAAGCCCAACACAGCGTCTATTTATCGTACTCGGTTGCTAGTCTTAATTGCTTTTTGTGTGAATAAAAAAAGACACGAATTATTTCGGCTTTAGAACGCTCAGCTTTGTGTTACTGCGAACAGGCACTTCACATTTGCGCTAAACAGTCGTCACTTTTTTTAAGTCAACATATGGCGTTTGCTTTTGACTGTTAACGCGGGGGAGGTAGTAGCCAAACGGAACGGATTAATTTGATCATCAAAGATTAGTTAGTCGCTGAAAATGCTCCAATGTACGCCAGCGGCGCACGGAAGCGTCGCTTTAAGTTTCATTAACTTTTACAAAGGAGGACGCAGCAGTTCACACCAAACTTGCTACAATATTTCTTTCCTGTTGCAAGAGCAAGACTTTTTGCGCCATCTTTCTAGCAAAAAAGGCGCCATTGCTTGTTGCTATGACGGCCCAAATGAGCAGTCATCATATCTCCAGACTCTTATTCATGCCGCCTACGCTTGCTTGCAAATGGGAGTCATCTTTTGCGTTGGGCGTTTCCCATCAACGACGCGACGGATTAATTTGACCATGAACAACGCCAGTCGCATTTGCCATTCGACCGATTCCTTCTAGTTCACGGCATACGGCGGGGGAGTGTGGATTTATAGTTTCATTACCTTTTACAAAGGAGCACGCAGTTCACACTTAACTCACTACAATACTTATTTCTTGTCGCAAGAGCAAGAAATCCAGATTTTTTGCGCCGTCTTTCTAGCAAAAGGCGCCTAGCTTGTTGCTAGGACGGTCCACATGAGTAGTCATCTAATATGCGAAAAAATTCGAGGTCCAGATAAAATATTCCTTTCATCATCCCGGGAAGAGGAAGAAGAAGGAGGCGATTTCTGGGACCAGGGTGTATTTTGGCTGACGTTTCAAAAGCATGCTCGCTTCCATCGTCAGAGCGTGGTGTC